GGGGCTCTGATAGATTCGGTGGAGGGGAGGGTCTACCTGTCGCGTGAGCGTCAGGAGAGTTTACGCTTGCTGGTAGCTAAGGTTAAACGCACCAGGTCTGTCTCCCCCCTCGCTCTGTCCCAGCTCCTGGGGAAGATGATTTCGGCCATCTCTATCGTCCCATGGGCCCAACTCCACGCAAGGGAACTTCAGTGGTTCCTTCTACCTTGGCAGAAGGCAGGGAGGGGCACCTCCCGTTCTCCCATCCCTGTCCCCAAGAAGGTACTCAGGTCCCTAACATGGTGGCAGTCACCAGCCTTATCCCGGGGTTGTTTTTTCTTTGACCCGCAGAGAGTGGTGGTGACAACAGACGCCAGCCTCCATGGCTGGGGTGCCCACTGTCGGGGCCAGATGGCACAGGGCACCTGGACAGATGTAGAATCCCGGCGTCCGATCAACTGGCTAGAACTACGGGCAGTCTACCTGGCACTGCAAGCCTTCCGTCACATGGTGTCCAAGTCACATGTCCTGGTCCTCACGGACAATATTACAGCAAAGGCGCACATCAATCGCCAAGGGGGCACTCGATCTCGGCTCCTGATGGAGGAAGCATGGCGGCTGGGAGTCTGGTCGGAACTCAACCTCGCCTTGTTGAGGGCGGAACACATTTCCGGTGCCACCAACCTACAGGCGGACTGGCTAAGCCGTCAGCGACTGGATCATGCGGAATGGCATCTTCACCCGCACATCTTCCAACTGATCGTGACACGCTTCGGGATGCCGGCGGTAGACCTTTTTGCCACGGCGGCCAACTCTCAATTACCACGCTTCCTATTACGGTACCCATCACCTCATGCGGAGGCTGTGGATGCTCTTCGTTCCCCGTGGCCTCCAGGACTTCTCTATGCCTTTCCTCCGGTCCCTCTGGTTCCCCGAGTACTTCGCAAATTATTGACGGAACAGGCGGAGATGATTCTAGTGGCCCCTTATTGGCCTCGCAGACCTTGGTTTGCCGACCTCGTGTCTCTTTCAACGTGCCGCCCGTGGCAGTTGCCCCAACCAGAAGACGCACTAACACAAGGAACCGTGAAGCATCCGGACTTACAGTGGCTCCGTCTGACCGCTTGGCGGTTGAGCGGCTATCGTTCGAAGCTGTCAATGTACCTGCCGACGTAATCGACATCATACAGGCGTCGCGGAGGCCCTCGACGAACCGGATTTATTCGGCCACCTGGCGAGCATTTTGTGACTGGTGTGATCGTACGGGGGTTCAGCCTCTTCAAGCTTCGATCCTCAATGTCCTAGTTTTTCTGCAGAACGGTCTGGCTAACGGCCTTTCGCCCAACACTTTGCGACGGCAGGTGGCAGCGATTTCGTCTATACTTACGCTCGGGTCGGTGTCCTCTCTCTCTCAGCATCCGATGGTTCGCCGTTTCCTACGAGGGGCGACGAACCTCCGTCCCCCAGTCCTTCACAGGTACCCGACTTGGGACCTTTCGCTGGTCCTTAATGCGCTCACGGGGGCTCCGTTCGAGCCTTTACGGACAGTGAGTCTTCGATTTCTAACGTGCAAAGTTGCATTCCTAGTGACAATCACTTCGGCTCGTCGCATCTCGGAGATAGCCGCGCTCTCCGTACGAGAGGACCTCTGTGTATTCCACGCGGACCGTGTGGTACTCCGGCTAGATCCCACCTTTGTGCCAAAGGTGAATACCACCTTCCACCGCATGCAGGAACTGGTGCTGCCTAACTTTTGCCCTCAACCGTCTCACCGACTCGAACGACGATGGCATTCACTAGATGTCCGTCGGGCTCTGCGGATTTACATTAAGCGTACAGCGACTATCCGCAAAACTGAATCGCTCTTTGTGTCTTTCTTACCATGTTCCTTGGGCAATAAGGTGTCGGCTTCCACCGTCGGTCGCTGGATTCGCCAAACGATAGCCAAGGCCTATGAACTTCGCGCTCTCCCTCGGCCTCCTCGTCTGACGGCTCATTCCACCCGTAGCGCGGCGACATCAGCTGCCTGGGCTGCCCAGGCATCCTTGTTAGAGATCTGCAGAGCGGCTACGTGGACTTCGCCGTCCCCGTTTATCCAACACTATAAACTGGACAGATTCGCTTCGGCGGATGCCGCCTTTGGTCGTAGGGTTTTACAACGGGTTGTTGAAGGGGGGATTGCTTCGGACCAGACTGGTCCCTCCCCTTCTTAGGGACTTGAATCTTTGGTATGTCCCATCCTGGCTGCTGTCTCCACCCACAATGGAGAAGGGGCGTTGGTCTTACCTGAGACGCTCCTTCTCGTTGGGTGGAGACAGCAGCCAGACCCTCCCTTCTCCAGTCTGTCCTCTATTTCTTGTGTTTTTTCTTCCTTTACGCTAGTGTCCCACACGCCGAGCCTCTCTTCTTGCCTTCACCAAAAGCTGGGTCTGCCCGGCAACAGGGGCGGGACTTGGCAACTTTGATTGGCTCAGTCTATCAGCATGGCAGATGAGCACACCCCATCCTGGCTGCTGTCTCCACCCAACGAGAAGGAGCGTCTCAGGTAAGACCAACGCCCCTTTTGGGCTTTTTGTGGCTGTGTGAGGTTCCTGCTTGTTGCAGGGGCCATTTTGGGTCTAGCACAGCTGCTTTTACATTGTGGGTGAAGCCAGTTGTGTTGTGTTGTGTGTGTGTAAAGTGTGAAAGTTGTTTTTTGGGGCTTTTTGTGGCTATGTGAGGTTCCTGCTTGTTTCAGGGGCCATTTTGGGTCTAGCACAGCTGCTTTTACATTGTGGGTGAGCCAGTTGATGTTTTTTAATTTTTATTTGGTGTGTGTTGGAAGAGGGGTAGTCTTATACGGCAAGTATAGCCCAAACCCTATATTTTAACAGGAAAATTCGGGGGTCGTCTTATACGCCCAGTCGTCTTATATGCCGGAAAATACAGTAATAACCAATGCAGCTCATGGAGAAGATGTGTGGTGTGTGTTCTCCTAAAGGCAGACATAACAAAATAACAGAGTTGGTCTTCTAGTCCAATCCCCTGCTCAAGCAGGAAATCCTATACCATTTTAGACAAAGTTTCCTTTGTCTGAAATGGTAACTTTCTCATGCTGTCACATTTTGCACCAGCTGAAACTTTTGAATACTTTTCAAGGACAGTCTCTTGTACAGCATATTAAAGTAGTTCATTTGGGAGGTAAGCAGAACCTCATGGCCCCAGAACAGGTACAACTGGCACACAACACAAAGTTGTGCAAAGGCCCTCCTAGCCTGCATCTACTCCTCAAGCAGAAGCCATGAAAGCAGAAGGAACCCCAGATTGTGCACTGAGTTTGTCTGGACCTGTGCCACCCGAGGTGGTAAAATACCAGATCCTAAACACCCAAAATAATTTAGTTTTATTATTCCCCATTCACTTTCACAGCCTCCAGGCACCAGGGCAAGACATCAACAGCGCTGCTTAATTCGCCAGGGTCAGAGATGTATAATCATATCATGGCAACAAATTATCTCACTTTGCAGTTTCATGTAGATGTTAAAATAGGAATGGGGAGAGTTCTGAATTCTGCAAGGGTCATGGGCAGGGCCTTTCACTGCCAATCAATATCAACTAATGCTGGCCCCATAGGAAGGAAGAGAACCAGCCCAATATTGTGCCACTCCCAATCTTTGGAGCTGATCCAGAAATATATTATTATTAATAGTATCAAAAGCCATTGAGAGGGCAAGAAGAATCAGAAAGGATGGACTACTTCCACCTGCTCCCACCAGAGATCATCCAAAAGTACAATTAATGTCATTTCTGTGTCCAGAAACATGCCCAGGCCTGGATCCTGACTGAACCTGCTGTGGATCACTTTCGCCATTAGCTTCCCTAAAACAGGGAGATCTGACACTGGTTGAAGGTTGTCCTGTATAGTGGGATCCAGTGATGGCTTTTTTAGGAAAGGGCAAATCAACATGTCCTTAAGAAGTGAAAAAACCACACCCTTGTCTCAAGGATAAATTCACCCCAACTAAAACTCGTTCACATATCACTCCCCCCCCCAGCAACCTTAGCCAACTATGGGGGTGCATGAATCTCATGAACAAGTGGCTGAGCTCACAGTCATAAGGATCCTTTCTACTTCCTCAGGTCTGAACTGAACAGATTTCAACTATTGGGTTATCATTGATCAGTGGTGAAATCTTCCCTGGTTTGCCACTGGTTCGCTGCCCGCGCATGCATGGTGCGTGCCAAATGCATACTGTGCGCATGCATGGTATGCGCCAAATGCACACTGCATGCCAAATGCGAGCTGCATGTAGAAGGAGGAGGCTTGGGAAGGTAAGTAGAACAGCAAGGAGGGAGAACAGCTGTGCCGCGCAATTTAGATTGACTAGAAAATTTGAAATCACGTGGCACAGCTGATCGTTGGAAATACCGGTTCCGAGGAACTGGTAGCTTTTTTTACTACCGGTTTGCCTGAACTAGTGCGAACCGGTAGCATTTCACTGCTGTCATTGATACATTTAGGGGGAATGCAATATAATCATAAACTGTATTACTGTATTATTATTTCATTCAGAAAATTGTACTGTATTGAGGCAATACTTATTCAAGAGGTGGATCAGAAAGAACATGCAATGTAGGCTCTCAAATTGCTCCAAGAATTGACAGCTGTCTATTACTTTTCACTGCAGCCATCAGTTCAATTCTCCAATAGCTTTTAGGGACATATTCGAATCATCAATATACCTAAAAATAACACTGCCCAAACTGGCAACAGTTTTAAGTCAGATAGAACAACCTTGCCCTTGGATACAGGTAGAAAATAAGCATTAATTCAAATAAGCTTAAATGATTCAGCTCAGGTACACTAGGAAAAAATGTGATTGAAGTTGGCACTACTGCATTACTGCATATAATTTTATGTCAAACCTTGAAACAAAGGAACAATCTAAAACACTTAAGAGCATTGGTATATTTCAGCGTACTTTAAGTGAGCAAGGTTTGCTCAGGGTAAAAACTATCCAAGGATTTATTTATCTTTTTACCTGTATAAGTGATTAATATAAGGAGTTACACCCAATGAATTCATCCAGTTTCTAAATGTTCTCTCTTCCTTACTTTCACCTACAACAGAAAGATAATAATTTAATTATACTCTGATTTTTGGTCTGTTTTTAAATCTATTGAATCCCAAAGAGAAGGAATGGTATCACAAAACAGGAGAATGAGAATGTTATCATAAAGTGGAAATATATATAAATGGGTGAAGAATAAACAAATCTAAATTAAATCAAAACCATAAAAAAGATACTTACTGTGCAAAATATTTAGAGCACAGCAATAGCAAAAAAATTCTTTGTGTCCACAACCGTTAGTTCAGTTTGGTGGTTATGTATAAGAATATTCATCAAATTATATGTTTGGGGTCTATATGACTCTAGATCATTTGAATCAAAGCCAATTTTAGCTGCCTAGAATACTAGCCAATAGGATTGGTCAATGGCCCAGTTCAGGAAAAATCTATATTTTCTTTTGTAGCTTTCAGTTAAAATTATTTGACATTTCTTCACAGTACACCAGTTCTCATTAAAATCATGCACAATTATGGCAACATTATTTCATATATATATATATGAAATGTTATCCAATTGCTTATTCACTAACCTTATTATATAAATTGAGACCATAATCCCTTTTGGGATTAATTATTAAGATTTGTTTCAAAAGGTATTTCAATCTCTAATTGAAATATATTTTGAATACTTCAGAGTGAATTAACATGCTTCCAAGATAATTGGTTATAGAAAGAAGGGGTGCTACAGGATATATTTGGCAAGTTCACAATAAAAATAAAAACTTCATGCTAAATAATGCAGAAAATAACATGCAAGCTGAAAAAATCAATTCTGACTGAAAGAACTGTGAAAGTAAAAAAATAAAGGTTATATTTAATATGCCACTCTAAAATCAATTTCTTAAACTTCTTTACTACCACCTACCATCACTATAACTCCTTTCATTCTTGTTCAGTGTTTAATAGGTACCTTCTTGAGAATATACACATTTGCTTTCCGTGGAATATCAATAATAGATAACCAACACAAACTGGAACATGGTAATAACATGCCTTGTGGCACTTTTCTTCTGTAATTGCAATGTTAGGTAGCAATAGGTATACATAGAGATCAGAAACGGATATGATCAAACAATTAGGCTGATTATTTTTCACTTTCTCAAAATAGAAAAATGTTGAATGTTTAATTTCAGTTATCAAAATAGGAGTAACTTCAACATACATTTTGCAAGGAAAATAAACCCAGCCATCCTTAAGCATGATTGCTATTCAGGATAAGATATATTTCTCCATTGGGTTATATAGCCATGCAGCTCTCAGTATTGCTGATCAAAACACAATTCATTTTGTTTATCTAATATGATTTGAATATTTTCATAATAAAACTAACATGGAATTATAGGTAGTCCTCAAACTATGACTTGTGTGGCCAGTCATGTTTCCAAGTTAAGACAGCACTGAACCAATGATAGTTCCAACCAGTCCTTGGAGTTTCAACCAACCCCATTGTCACGTGATGTTAAGTTGGGTAATTGGCAACCAGTTCACATTTATAACTGCTTGCCAAGTATCTTGCAATCATGTCAACACCATTTGCAATCTTTCCTGTTGGCTTCCCCAGAAAGTCAAGTTACTGGGGTATATCACCCACTCGCACATCCTCTCCCAGCCCCACTGCACTTGTACTGGGCTAGCACCCTCTCAACTTACGTAGCACCACTTGGGCACCCTTGCAGACCTGAACAACACCTCATGTGCACTCCCCTCTTACACCCTCCCAGATCTGTGCCAGGCTTCTTGTGCATGGTGCCTTTCACACATCCCCTCACAACCATGCTCCATCAGTCCTGGCAACCTGTGCTCTGCTGGCCCTGCCACTCCCAGTTGATATTTGCTATTTTTTTCCTTCTGATGCTGAAAAGATAAGTCCAACCTGGCTATTCTTCTCAGCAGCAGCAGAAAGAAGATGGTGAAGATCAGCTGAGGATGGGAAGGCCAGTAGAATGCAGGGCAGCAGAGTTAGCAGAGTGCCGGTGGCCAAAAAGTATAGAGATGGGGGGAGATAGAGAGCTGGGGAGTTCAAGAGGAGGCAGTCTTACCCATGCTTACTGAGGGTCAGGGCTGGAGGTACCAACCCAGCAATGGTTTGGATTGGGATGGATCCCTGCTTAAGGACTGGGTAGGATTTGTTTAATAATGGCAATGGGTACTAAGAGGATTACTGCTAAACAATACAGTCACGTGATATCACTTTATGAATAAATTGCTTAGTGATGGAAATTCTAATCCAAATTCTGGTTGTTAACTGAGGTCTACCTGTAAAACAATAAGAACAGCACCTAATCTCCAGTTTTATCAAACAAAATAGGATTTATCTGATGGAATGGCACAAATTATATCAGCTTAAATTTCTGCCAAGATAAGGAGTGCAGATATCAGCATAGCTGTGAGGGAAAGCCCTTGTGTTCTTCAAGAATTATCCAGCAACCATTTCAAGCTGTCCTAAGAGGAATATAGAATGCCATATTACTCTGTCCTGTCTTTGAAATGTTTCCATTCCATTTCATTGTGATAACACGATAGCAACTTTTAATTTTATTACAACTGTTTGTGATAATTACTATATATCTTAAGAACTATGTTTAATTTTTTATGTTTGCCTTGTTTTTTTCTCCATAATTTTCTTTTATAAGCCTGAGGCAGGTAACTGTCTTGTTTTTATGCTACTGGAAGCTGTTGGAAGCCTTTTCTAGCTGATACATGCCTTGAACAAATACTTGAATTTAGGGAAGGGAATTTTCACTTTTGACAACTTTTCATTCACATTTGTGAGGTTTCATATCATGACTCCCAAGAACTCAATTACAGTATTCAAGTAAAGTTAATCTGGCATTTTATATGACTTTAAATCAATGTCTATTACTAATATTTTTCCACAGCTATAATGGCATATTAAAAGAAAAACACTAATATGTCACAAAAGCAGGACAGTTACAAAGAGGGTAGTCATAACAGTAATAGAATGAAAGGGAAAACAGATTTCAAAATATAATTTTACAAGCCAAAAGTCTCCAACTAAATACAGTACCTACAGTAGGAGGAGTCAAATCTGCATTTTATGAAGAAAGATTGGAAAGTTATTAAATGTAATAATATGAGCACTAGCCTAATTTCAGTATTTGGGCGTGCTTAACTCCTAAAAAAACAGTTTAAGATCCAAGATCTTTATGTGATTTGAACTCCTCCCCATCCACAAACCCTATCTCCAGAAACAGGTGTTTCTTACATTCAAAAAAGCAGAGGAACTTCAATTATACAGGTAGTCCTTGCCTTACGACCACGATTGAGACCAAAATTTCCATTGCTAAGGAAGAGAATTATTAAGTGAGCTTTGCTCCCATAGTTGTTAAGTGAATCACTGAAGTTAACTTAAAAATGGTTGTTAAGTGAATCTGGCCTCCCCATTGACTTTGCTTGTCAGAAGGTCACATGAGCCCCAAATACTGCAGCTATCATAAATACATATCAGTTGCCAACTGTTCAAATTTTTATCACATGATCATGGGGATGCTGCAGTTGTCATAAGTCACTTTTTAGTGCCGTTGTAACTTCAAATGGTCACTAAAAGAATGGTTGCAAGTTGAGGACTACCTGTATTGGGGAAATCTTTTCCATTCTTAGTTGCCTTGTGCAATTAGGTTTATAAGTGTGTGTGTGTTCCAATTTTACCCCATAGTTTTGAATGGAAAGTAGTATATCTCCCCCCCCCCCCCCCCCCCCCCCCCCCCCCCAAATCATGTAAAATTATATGGCTTAAGCATGGTTGGAGAAAACACTGTGAACTAAACTTTCAATGAAATAATATTATTATTTAAGTTCGAGAACAACAAGGGACTTGATGTTAGAGAAACTTCCCATAGAGAAGATGGAGTTGCTATTGATTCAGAAGGTGGACTTTAGGATTTAGGAAAAATGCCTGCTCTGAAAAGTGTACATTTTCCATTAAGGATCAGATTTGCAATCTGGGAGTCCCTTTTGAATCCAGCATTAAATTCTGAACCATTAATAAAATCAAAAGATGCTTTTATCAACTTTGGTTGATAAACTGCCCATAAGTGAAGAAGAAAATCTTGTACACTAACAACCAAAGACTGCATTAGTCTCTATGGGATATTTTTGAAGATAGTCTAGAAACTCAGCTGGCTAGAATTTGGCAGCACTTCACTCTCTTTAGGATTTAGAAAGGAGCTCAAAACATAGTCAAATCTTTTAATCTGGTTTAGCATTTGTTTTAACTAAACTGTTGCTGTTTTAATTGTATTGCTCTAAGCTGCCCTAAGCCATTAAGGGAGAGGCAACATGCAAGTACACAATTAAATAAACGAGCAAACAATACCCAAATTAGATTATTTAAATTAAGAAATAATAAGCAACCAAATACAAATAGGTCTTTCTCTAATATCTCAATTAATATGTATTGGCGTTACTTACCTTCTAATAAACTGAAATCATAAGAATTGTTCTTAGGTTTCTGCAGAGCAGGGTATGTATTAAAGAGGTTTGCAACAAAGGCTATATTAAGTTTAGGGTTGCCTGCAACCACATCTGTAGGTGTCACAAACTGTTTACAACCCAACTTATCTGCTTGTTGAAGCATATATTCAGCCCTCCTCAAATCATTTGGTTCCTGGGGAAAAATAAATTGCAAATTTGAAATAAAATATTTCCATCCATTTTTGCATTAGACATAAAATTCTAGATACAGAAGCAAACCAGAAATAGTTTGGGAAAAAAATCCTGTTTTTGCAGGATTCCTGATTGCATTTAAATGCATTTAGAATCTGTGTTTTGGACCACTTATAGCAGTCTACTATACTCTTCCCTCAGAAGATCTAAAGGAAACAATTGTTTTCATTAAACACAAAATAACATTCTCAGGGGTTTCTTAATCTCTAAGAATAGACTCTGACTAGGCAAACACAATATAGTAGTCAATAATATATTATTATGAAAAAAAAAGCAGCCTATATAAAGAGGGGAAAGGGTAACATATTTTGCTGTTATATTCCAAGAAGAGTTTTACTGACAATACTAACAGGTATCTGTTTTGTTTTCCTTTATTTTCTCATTTTCTACTTGTTAAGTGACTGATAGTAAGTGTTATAAATATAAATGTTTCAAAACAGGTGCCTCTAAATTTATGGAAGCATATTCAAAGCATAATGTTTGAATAATTTAAGCAGCCATATCTTTCTCAGACTTAAATGACTGTTTTGGAAATTTTTCAGCCTCAGAGTTTGAAACCAGATTAGATCAATTTGAATAATTAGTATAATCTAAGACTATGTAATGGTTAAAAAAAAGTCATAACTGACTCTACCATATAAACATGAGACAAAAATAAATTGAAATAAATCTTCAACTGTATACTTGAAGCATATTCTATCTTGTTTCCCCGAAAATAAAACCTCCCCGGATAATAAACCCAATAGGGCTTTTGAGCGCATACGCTAAAATAAGCCATCCCCGAAAAGAAGCCTTCCCTGAAAATTTTTAAGCATATGTGCAGCTGGTCTCCGCCATTTCCTCTAGTTAGAGAGACAGAGGTGGAAATCAGGTAAGAGGAGCCACGTCTTGCTCCATGGGCCCCAAAATAATAAGAACACCCCCCCTCCCAAAATAAGGCCAAGCGCTTATTTCAGGGTTCAAAAAAATATAAGACAGGGTCTTATTTTCAGGGAAATACGGTAGCTCGATTCTCAAAGTATCCCCCATTAAGACTCATTATGAAACCATCACATCAGATGGCTGGATTATCAATTTTTTTAACATAGTTGGTCAGATTATACAAAGCAACCCATTCCTTTTAAAAAAAAAAAAAAAGATTGACTTAAAAGTATCATATTGTTAATTATCCATTCAATCATACTGTTCTATTCAAGAAATCTGTTAGATATGTTTAGTAGAAATGCTATAACTTGGTTCTCCAATCTAGCCAGTGTTTATAATGTGAAAGATTTAACAGAACACTTACATTAAAACCTGAAAGATCTATGGCAATGGCTGTTTCTCCATTGTTGCCTCGTTTGGGTGCAATTTGATTCAAAAGATGATAATAAGCTTTTGAATCCTGAAATGAACAATGCAAATTTTAAACAAAAATTATTCACATACACTTATCCGATGCTGAAATGAGAATGACTGGAATTGTTATACTAATATGCCTGTGTCATATTCTGTATAGGTTCTGCATAGAACATATTTTCTTAATGGATTTTCATATTTCTTGGAGGATATCACAGGTGATATCCTTTTTTCAAAGGTTAAATCAAAGGATTTTAAAAAGTCTTTGAAAAAGACACCAAGTATAGGATTATACTAGGGATGTATCTACAGAATTATAGCAATAAAAAGGTGCCTGGATAAACAGTGCTAAGAAAAATACAGGAGCTGATCTTGATGGAGAGCAACATCAAATGTCACTGGCTCACAATAGAGATTTTGCAGAACCAGGAGTCCTCAGCTTAAAGGTCAGTTCATAGATGAATTGAATCTCTAAATACAGGTATCTAGGCTCAGTTGTTTTCCTCTGGGTCCAAAGTTCTTAAACAATTCCAGTTGCAATTGTCCCACTTCTCTGGATACCAGAGCTTTTGTGAATTGTGCTACATACAAGATTAATGATATAAAAAAAAGTAAGGAAATTTGTTTTTGTTATTTCTTTATTTTCTGCTTTAAGTATTAATTTACTTCCATCGTTTTTGATTCTAGAAATGATATTTTTCTTATTATTCTTCTATAAGTTTTATAAATGGCTTTTTGAGACCATGGAATTTCTTATCTGTCGGTCAAGTGTTACATATTCCGTTCCAATAGCACTATATTATATGTAATAATTGCTTTGTTTACTACAAGTTTAAGTAAGATATACCTTAATGTCTTGACCAAAGTTGCTTATTTTCTTCCACCCAGCATTATTCAAATGGTAGTTAACCCAGCGTAGCAGAAGTTCTTCTGGAGACAATTTCATTAATTGCTCCAATTCTTCTTCATCACTTAGTAAACCAATAAGAGCTGGAAAATGTTTTCAATAAATATTATTCTGGAACTTCAAAAGAAAAACAAATAAAAGAATATGCTTAAGCTACAGAATTTATTATTCCTTATGAACATTTAAAATTCTCACCTTCATTTCTGGAAATCTCTATGTCAGAAAAAAGCCCAACTTTAATAATTTGCCATAATAATCCTAATACCAAATGTGGCTTTCCATCTATTAAATCTTGTGATCCAATGTTAACTACTGTACAGCCAATAGCTGATGCAGAATTTAGTGCTAGATCTAGATTTTCCTAAAAGCAAAGCAAAAAAACAAAACAAAACATGTTAGAAAGAAACAGATGTAACATGAACAGACTAAGAAAGTATTTCATAAATCGGCTGACATTTGAACTGTTTTCAGCATATTTGAAACACTGAAAGTCAGCATTTAATAAATTATTCTATAATACTGTGTTTCTCCAAAAATAAGACCCTGTCTTATATTTTTTGAACCCCGAAATAAGCGCTTGGCCTTATTTTGGGGCAGGTCTTATTATTTTGGGGTGCGTGTGGCAAGATGGAGCACCTCTTGCCGTCTTACCTGATTTCCAGCTCTGCGTTTAAATATTTTCGGGGAGGGCTTATTTTCTGTGGGAGGCTTATTTTAGTGCATGCGCTCAAATGCCCGATTGGGCTTATTATCAGGGGATGTCTTATTTTTCGGGAAACAGGGTATTAGATTATTTTTCCTTTGAAAGAGCTGTTAGAGCATAGGCCCTTTTTAATACAGCTATTAATTCATGTTTATTTTTTTAGCAACTTAACAATATAAATGTTACCATCATAACTCACAATATGCCTGGGCTAAGATTTTCAAAAAATTGCCATATAACTATGATATCTAAATAGAATACTATAAGAAAAATGGAAATCTGGAAGCTAAATAAATAAGACCTTTCGAATCAGAGATAAACACACACACACACACACACACACACACACAAAAGTTTTGAATGGAAAAAAGGATTATGCTGAAACAAAAACACATTTGGTGGGGGGAAATATAAAATTGGAGGAAGCTAATAGGCATAACAAAACTGGTACTAGAACAACTTGAATTGATACGTTCTACAAACATGCATTACAAATATATTAGTATGTGCCAAATTATATGCTAGAAATGAAAAACTAAGTTGTTAGCTTTGCAAAAAACTTCCAGAAAGCTTCCTGGAAACTATTTTACTCAAAGGCTTACATATATTAATGGATTTACTACAGCAATACAGTATATATAGAAAGTTTAAATAACTATAAATGCTACAATTTATTGCCTTGTTTTTATATACATTTTTCCATCTATAACCAGAAGCAAAAAAAACCCCAAAATATAAGAAATTTAAGAAGGCTGAAACAAAGATAAAGGAAATACAGAAAAATATTGAAAGAAAAATATATGTTCAACACTCTTATATATAATTGAAACCCAGGTCTCAAACAACAAATTAAACTTTGGCTAACTGAAGTGATATTGATCACACTTTATGCAATAAAAAGCTATTTCCTATGCCGAGAGTATTTTCTATTAAGGATCTTTTTCCTCCCACTGGAGTAAAACCATCCAGAGTTGCTTCAGACAGTGAGAAGGGACGACATATACATTTAATAAATAAAATAATAAATAAATAAAACAATATTCTTAGCTACACCCCATTAATGATAACTCTTCTTGTTTTGTAAGGTTCAGAGCCTGGAGTATATTATACCAAAATGTCTTCAATGTATATCAACTCCAAAACATAAAATCTGTGTCACTTCCAAAATGTTACATATGGAAATTGGAATCTAACTACCTATTTTCGTGGTGTCCAATAAACATGAAAAAAACCAGTCTGTTGAATTAATTGCATTTTGAGATCACAGAACACTAATGTGACTTTTTAAAAATTCTAACACATTGGTTTGTTGTAACTCAGTGCAGGTTTTTCTATATTTATTTTGGTACAACTTTTCAGTTGTAGATTTAAATTAATTATATATTTAGAAACTTCCAAAACCTTTTTCTAATAATTTTAATAATTTAGGAATTTCAGATTTTGCTCAGACATCAGGCCCAAACTGTAAAATTAAAATACATTTTAATTAGATATATTGCAACTCAGAAGTTTTAAGCAAACCAAATTCTTTTAAATATTTTAAAATACTAGTATCAATCCCATTTCTGGCTTGTGCAAGAAATGTTCAAGTTTGCATTATCTTGTAATGTAATTTTACATGAGAGCTATGATCAAATTTTAATCTCCTTCCCAAACATCATCCATATATGTCTTACAGTTTACAATTTGCCTTGTTCATCTTCTTAATTTCCATTCAACTATTAGATTTTGGCTATGGTTTACTTACTGATCTAGTGAATGCAGTAAGCTTCTTCTTATTAATTGCTCTTTCATCAATTGTATCTGGCTGAGATAAATTAATCATTTTGCTTGAAAATAAAGAAAAATAATCATTAGCTTAATGTGAAAGAAATTCATTGTAAAGTGATTTAAAAGATTGGCAGATTAAAGTTCTCCATAAATGTGAACATTAAATAGCAAACCATTTAGTAGACTTACAGAATATGGAAACTTATGGAATGAGTATTTTGTTTCCATAAGTGGAATAACATCAGTACCATACGTAGAGGTAATTCATTTATTTTTTTCATATACTAATATTCAACTGTTATTAACTGAACAATCTGCACTTCGTCACCACAGACAGAAAAAAAGGCATAAGCATATGTATATGCATGTTCATGTAACATACATTTCCTCCCTGCCAGGATGAAAAACGTCAGAACTTTGACTTAGCATGGAGGGTGAAGACAGTAGCTCTTGGACCACAGCACCATGCTAGAAACAGTTAGCTTAACTCTGGTTTTCAAATGCTTATACTTGGATAATTTCTGGGATCAGTAGAGTTTAGTATTAAAGCATTCCAGATACAATTACTTTTTTTTTTTTAACTACTGTTAAAAACAGCAGTTCATTCTTATCCAAGGTGGATATGAATGATTGGGGAGGTAAAGGAGAATGGACGGTTCCTTTGTAAAACTCCTCAATGAGACTGCTAATAGCAATGTAGAAGCAGCAATTGTGTAGCAAACGGTGACTGGAGGATTTGCCTAATAACAGCAATTGGACATGAAAGAACTGCCTTCGTAAGTCAGGACAGTCACATGATATTGCACTTTATGACTGTGCAGCTTAGCAGCAGAGTTCCCAATGCCAATTAATATTCATAAGTGAGAACTACCTGCATATGGTTTAATTTTTATTGATTTCAATGAAAGTTCAAAATTTGCTGATCTTTCCAACTAAAATAAATAGGACTTATAGTATCAAAATTAAGGGATGGTAATGCCTTAAGAATTCGCCAGCCTGTATTTTGGTAAACATTTTTTTAAAAAACTGAACATACCAAAGAAGGATACCATCAGCAAGTGAATTAAAAAGGCTATCGTTTGATGGATCCATAGGGAGGCAATGTTTGCAGTCAGGGTCTTCTTTAAGAGCTTTATTTATCCAGTTAACAAATGCGACCTTGTCTTCTTCTGGAAAATAAAAGAGGAAAATATATTTTAAGAGCAGTCTAGCAATACATATGCCACAAACTCAACCTTGCTGTCTTAGCACACTGTAAAAGAAACCCTAATAGGGAATACTGTTGTGTATCTTTTATTCTGAGCAGGTATTCCTATAATTATAAGAACCATATCCATATTCCTGCATAAATGTTAATCCTGGCATTACATTGACAAAAACATTCCTTTGAACATTACAATTTTTTTTACCTGAGTAAGAATGCTGAGTTCCCTCACTGGAAATGGATGATGTTCCTCCAATTGCAGTAATCCCCAGTTTTTTGTTTATGGATTTTCGAAATGATTTGCTAATCTCTTTACTTTTCAGTTCCTGAATAACCTGGAAAAAAACAACATGAAGAAAATGAAATCTAATGTGGAGAAAAGCAAGGTTTTGCACCTAGGCAGGAAAAACCAAAGGTAAAAGTACAAATTATGCAAAACATGGCACAAATATAGTAACTGTGAGAGGGACCTTGGAATCCTAGAGGACAATCATTTAAATATGAGCCAGCAGTGTGTGGCAGCAGCCAAATAAGCCAATACAATCCTTGGTTGTATAAACAGAGAAATAGAATCAAAATCACGTGAAGTATTTATAAATCCTTAGTAAGACCATACCTGGAATACTGCATCCAGTTTTGGTCACCATATTACAAAAAAGATGTTGAGACTTTGAAAAAGGTGTAGAGAAAACCAACTAAGATAATTAAAGGCCTGTAGATTAAAACATGAATATTGGTTGCAGGAATTGGGTATGGATAGTCTAGACTCTAGAGAAAAGAAGGACTAGGGGTGACATGATAAACAGTATTCCAATATTTGAGGGGCTGCAACAAAGAGGATGGAGGTCAACCTATCTTCTTCCAAAGCACCAAAAAGCAAGACAAGAAACAATGGATAGAAAGTAATCAAGGAGAGAAGCAGCCTGGAATTAAGGAGAAACTTCATAACAGTGAGAACAATTAACCAGTGGAAAAGTTTGCCTGCAGAAGTCGTGGGTGCTTCATCACAGGAGTCCCAAAGGTGCTTTTTCGAAGAGGCAACTGGACTTTCTTGTTTTTCTTTGAAGATGTTTCATTTCTCATCGAAGAAGCTTCTTTAGCTCTGAGAAGTGAGCTGAGGAAGCTTCTTGGATGAGAAGAGAAACAAATTTAAAGAAAAACAAGGAAGTCCAGTTGCCTCTTCAAAAAGCACCTTTGGGACAACTATGACCTGAATGACTGAGAATCTCTATAGATATTCATCACTGGAGGTTTTTAAGAAAAGACTGGACAGCCTCGTCTGAAATGGTATAGGGCCGTGATAGCGAACCTGTGGCACGCGTGCCAGAGGTGGCATGCAGTGCGCTCTGATGGCACGCGAGCTGCTGCCCCAGTTCAGCTCCGCACTACATGCACGCGTGCCTCCCACTGGCCAGCTGGTCTTCAGATCTTGGTTGTGCATGTGCGGGGGCATGTGCGGGGAGTGAATTTCAGGGGCATGGGGGCATGCGTGGGGACAGGGCGCATTCAGGGGGTGCATGTGGGGGGGTGGGACACATGCATGAACATTGAATTTTGGGGGTTCAGGCGCACACGCACATTCACACACACACTTTAGGCACTTAGTCTGGAAAAGGTTAGCCATACTGGTATATGGTCTCCTGCTTCAGCAGGGGGTTGGATTAGAAGATCCCTTCCAGCTATATTCTGATTCAGATGATTAACATCAAACAGAATAGAAAATAATCAAAGAGCAGCCATGTCAAAACAATAGTAAAATTGCTGACTTTCTTCTTCCTGTTCTTTTTTAGCACATCTTCATAATTGTTCCAACTAACTGAAGCATTAAAGTTATATAATAAAGTAAATCAATTATTTGTGGGAAGTGGGAGAGAGAAAAGGGACAAACCAAGAAGATTTATAATTGTGAACCAATTCTTTATTATTTAATCCCTTCATATTTGATCTTTTTAGACTATAAGAGAATTAAAATATTTTATATAATAATAATACATTAAAAATCTTGGATACAGCTATCAGGAATATACTTTTTCATTTATACCAATAAAAAAATCAAGAGGTTCTAATCCAGCCCCTAAACTGAATAAGAAATACAAAACAAGAAAGCTGTTAAGGTTTGTATCAACTTCCAGAATCTTAGGGCATGTATATCATAATTGTTTTTAATTAAGGGGTTTTATTAAGGTGTTCTTTTTGTCACATCTATTTAATTTTTATTTAGAGTTTTATTTTAGGATGTCAATGTATAATTATAAGTGAAAGTATCCTGCATATTTTTGTAACAGCTGTACTTATTTCTAATATGGGCATAATTTGCAGTGCTGCTAGTTGTTTGCTGGTTGTCCTCCCTACCTAATTTAAGGCCCAAGCTAAGGTTATATTGTTTATTTAAAACATTTTTGCAGTAATTTCCAGACATATTTTGGAAATACTTTACAAACAAGAATTAAACAATACACATGTAAATCCCAGTCTCTGATAAACAGTGAACATCTTCAAATTATTAAGGCAACACTTAATATTTATTATCAACTTTAAATGTGATGCCATGTCTTTTCGGTAACAGTAAAAGTGACAATCTGTCTTTTGCCACTTGTATATACTTTCCATATTGCTGTTAGTCAATCAAATATTTGTATAGGTGTAATGAGTAGTGAATGCAAAAGTTGTTTCTTACATTATTCTCAGAACTTACATCTGCTGCTATTTATCACCTAGAACAGGTTCTTTAAAATTGTGACATTTTCTGATGTTATGGGACATGCATAATGCTTAGACATGATCCTTTGGCATAATGCATACGACATAATTCTCCAAAACTTGGACTGCCCTAGCAAATCCAGGATTTTTAATAATCCAAGACAAGTATAAGTGGAAATAGGAAGTACAGCCTGAACAATCCAAGGCACAGAGAAAATATATTAACACCTTGGTCACGTGTTTTCAAGCCTTCAAAACTCCAGGTCATTCTAAACATGGGGGGAGGTGGGAGGTGTACTTAATCCATTCTTGACAATTTGCTTATTCATATTAAAGATAAATTTCATCAGAAATGTGTAAAAGTCTTCAGCTATTTCAGCAAAATAGCTTCACGCACTTCCTTCATGTTTTAAATGGAATTTTAAAAATAAATAAAATATGAATGATGTATTGCATACATTGAGCTCCTTTCAAGTACAGTAGAACTAGAGCAACAAGATGCAAAATTGTCTCAGGTAATTAAGATTAGTTTTAATCTTATAGAATTATATGAAGACATTACTATTAAAATTGTTTAGGTAAAAGAAAGGCATACTCCAAAAACATTTAAAAGAGTTTCATTTCAGAAACTAAACAGAGAAAAAAGTTTAAGGTAGGCGACGATGGAATACAGTGGCCTCTTTATCTTCGTCACACAGTGGAGGGCAGCCAAAAGGCAAGAATGTTTTGAAATTGCACCCAGGGGTGCCTATCAATAGTCTATCACTTTCCTGGGCAAAATCAAAAGAGAATTTGATAACTGTTGCACTAAATTTAACAGCCATCATTTCACAACCTGTTATAATTGATAAACAGACTAATTTATAGTTCCTGAAGCAAATGATGTGAAGATCCATGTGCTACCCTGAAATCAACAACTGCAAGGACAAGAGCACATTTTGTAAGGTATAGCTATTAAAAAGGTCTTACACCCATTTTCAAAATTGATTTTTTAAAATTATTATTTTGAGAGCTATTGTTCAAAAGCTGTCACCATACTGCTAAAGTTGGCTGGCTAATAAATTTAAATAAATACTGTGAAAGTTACAAAACAGGATATCATATATTTGAGCTGTATTGGTGCATTGGTTAGAATGCAATATTGCAGGCTAACTGTGCCCACTAACAGGATCGGCTCAAGATTGACTCAGCCTTCCATTCTTCCGAGGTTGGTAAAATGAGGTCCCAGATTGTTGGGGGCAATATGCTAACATTATAAACCAAATAATACGTTTACATACTATTGCTATATCATATAACCATTTCTCAACTAACATGACAGACTTATTATGTTGTTGTTATGTCTTGACTGCATAGGGTACATTTTAGGAATATTGTACACTATTGAGCAATGTAGTTTGTAGCATTAATTTTAAAATATATTTTAATAACCTTTTGTTTCATATATAATTAATATATTCTAACCCAGTTATATTCAGATAAACATATAGCCTAAGATATTAGTTTACTTACCGATACAAATTCTTCAAAATTGATTTTGCCATCCTTGTTGCTATCTGTCACTGCTATAATTTTTTCCACAATTTCACGAACTTTATAGCCAGGTAATGGAAGACTTGCTTCTTTGAAAAGATCTTGAAGTTCATAATCACTGACATATCCACTATTATCAATGTCTATAAATTGCAAAACAAAACTGCTTTGTTACTATTGATATTTCAATTGCTGTTTTAAAATAATACATTTTTATTCTTTTGTTATTACCTTCTTGAATTTAGGCTATCTTTAGTAATAGATAATGTATGTTTACTAAAGTATTATTTCAAATAGATTAACTGAGAACAATATTCATATTTTTAGTGGTCTGTGGGCTGTGTGTGTGTGTGTGGTTATTGTTATATAAGACTTTCTCATCATATCTTATGCTTCATTCATTCTGTTTTCTTATGCTTTCAGCATATTTGAAGTAACCTAAAGTTGCTAGATAATTGTATTTCTTCCTAACCTTATCTCACTTTGTACCTTTGTGTTTCTGATTTATTCCTGGTTTCTGATATGAAGTTGTGTTAACTTTCTTTGTTAACACCCTTTAGTCAGCTCCTTTGCAACCTATTTAACAACACTGAATCTTCAGATGTCTCCTAGTTTTCTTTCTCGTTAGCATTTTCTGATATTGCACTGCCCTTAATTTTCTTTTCAAGGTGTTTCAATTATAGTATCTTTTAAGATTTTATTTTCATATTATCTTTTTATCATTTCCATTAGTTTACTGTATTAACATTGGGCATTTTAAAAACCATTATTTAAGTTGATATTTTTTCAAGTGCTTGTTAAATCAAAAACTCTAACAATGTAGCCACTGCATCCAAACTTACCCTTATTTAGCATCATTAGTAAGAGACAAATTTAAGGTAATAAAGTGGCCTACTGTCCACCGCAATTTTGTCTTTGGAAAGAGAAAATTATCATCATCATCGAAAAAAAAATTTCAGACATTTTATGTTTGATAAACTTAGTCTTTCAACTCGTATCTGGATATATCATTACAATTACTTCATGATTTTTTAAAGCTTCAATTATCTGCTTTATAAAATCATCATGTACCTCTAATAACTGATTTGGCGATCTGTATCAGACCCCAAGAAACATAGCACTTCTGTTAGTTTGCCATTTCAACATGCCATTTCAAATAACACTTGTGTTATTTTCAATCCAATGGATCTCTCTGTAGGTAAATTCATTTCTGGTATATAATGTGTTGCCTGTTCCTCTGAAATAAAGTTTTCCTATCAAATCCAATGCTCCACTGGTGGGATTCGTCTTACTATGTTATATAATCTTTTATTATGCCTTTATGCCTCATTACTTCTAGCTCATTTTGTTTGTTTAATCCATATTTTGTGTATTAGTGTAGAAACATTCCGTACAGTATAATTGGTTGGACTCCTTGTTCTCAATTTCTTTTCCTTTATATCTGTCTCATATTTATTTTTTGCCAAAGCAATTTTACCTTGCTGCTGTATTCAGTCTATTATATGCCAATTCATTTCTCACTAGTCATCTTACAAGTCCCTATCAATGTAAAATCTCCCGTCTCTCTTCATAACCTTCCTCTGAAGCCAGAGATGAGACCATAGATAATTAGTTGAGTTTCCCAGGCCCCATAGTATCATGGAACAAACATAGAGTGAAGCACAAATCTCAGACTGTATAGCAGTTGTTTGCAGAAAGAGAAGAATATTGCTTTATTTCACTAAAATATAGATTTCAGAGTATGATTGAAAAACTCACCTCTAATGACTGAAGTGTTCCAGTTTCTTCATTAAACTAATAAAGAAATAGAGTAATCACTGCATTCCCAACAAGCAAAGCCAAGACCCAGTTTTGAGGCAATACAGATTTGCTTCTTTCATGGCAATCTGACTATTCTTATATATGAAGGTTATGTATGAAGCAAGGGAAGGATGCTACAGAGTAATCAGTTTATTTGGATTGCCAGACATCAGCTTTTTAATATTCTAGGCAACTTAATGAAGTATAGGGTATACCTTTTAACACCACTACAAGAGGCAATGAAGCCTAATTATATATATTTTAAGGACTTATAAATAGCTCTCAAATTAGAGTATAAGGTTATTTCAGGCAAAATATATCAAGGAAATTTGCCTTTGCATTAATGCAATTGTTCAGATTTCATTGTTCCCAATCTGCATAATTTTCTTGTTGGAAGATAAAAACCTTCATGATATCTGTGCTAACCATTCATGAAACACCTCTGATCTACCAATAGCCACAAATGAAAGATACAATGAAATCCCTTGAACTTTCCCACTTGCATTAGCACTTGGACTGCAATTAATTAATAGGTCTCTTCGGGAAGACAGGGTGCACTGGCAAATAAATACAAATTCCCTCAAGATAAGGGAAATCTTTATTACAATACTGCACCCATCATAAAATTTCACACCTAGGAACAGATCTACGCACCCCACAGAACAAGAAACAACATGTCCCTGGGGTAGGAACATCTCAATTTAGACATCTAACATACTTCACATTGAAGTACATATTCCATGATCAAAGTCCATTACTGCTAGAAGTACTACCACGCTCAGCATTCTAACTTCATATCCTACTTTTGATTGTTGTACTCCATGAAATGTAGTCAAATAACACTACCCTAATTTTCAAGCAGTTGCCCAGCATGTTTATTTGTGACCTAGCTGAACTTCGAACCCAGGATTTTCTTCCAATACTTTCATGACATGATAGTGAATATTGGGGATCAGCAGGGTTTATGTGATTATAGCTAACTTATGACAGTATAGCGTGACAGTATTTCATGTGGCTGGGAAATTGTGGGAGTTGGTCCACATATCCTAAAGTTCCACGGTTGAGAAACACTGTGTTACGGGAACTCACGTGTGAAATATTATTAATATCGTTATTATACATAGAAACTATTATTAAATTATCATGGCAGATATCTTAATGTAATATTTGAAAGGGATAGGGTTATGAAATGAAAAGTAGTAGATGTGATCAATTTTTAATCTTCTTATATCCTCAACAAGGGTCAACTAAATCTTGGGAAACTTCAGCAAGCTTACCTATTTTACTGAATGCTTCTTTTAGTTCTTCCAGTTCTTCTCGAGAAATTGTTGTTATGTTATTTTCCATCTTGATTGCCAGTTTTTTATGTCTGTAAATAATCAACAAGACATATTTACAAAGTACAATAAGGAAAGACATATTATTCAATTAATTGAAATATTTTTGTGATCCATCAGAATTTATACTATTCTGAGCATTAGGTATACGTTTTTTTTCTAAGTATAAGTTTTACATTATGCAAAAGTTACAGATATTGGATTTTTTATTTCTTACCAGACAAATACAGTTATATCAATAACAATTGGGCTTATTAAATTATGCTGACAGAAGACAGAAGATTCTGCTTCCACTTGCATCAAAAGGAAAATCTTCAGTGGTATCAATGCAGCTTCATAATGACTAGAAATTATGGGATTGCAGCCCAATATTTGTGGGCTAATACTTAATGCAGGAAGCTAAAGTATTTTGTGCATCCCAACAATTCTGAGTAACTGAGAATTTTATTCAATATTTTGGGGAGAAAAAAATAAAAAAGAATAGAATAAAGATGATCAACAAGCCTAAGAAAGAATAGAAGACAAACAAATGTTTAATATTATGTTGCTGCTTGAATTTTTATCTGAGATTTTTAAAATTTGTATTGCTTGTCTCTTGCTGTTAGATGCTATGTATGTACTTGCATGTACTTTTAGTGAGAGTTTTTAAAGCTGTGTTTACATACAAGCTGCTATTAAAATCATATGAATTACAAGTGGGATGTATATTTTTTAAAGATATTGCTTATGCTAATACTGTCTAAATAATGTGAACAGCAATTCATATCTTGATCACTATATATTTGGATTACTGTAACACATTCTACATGCCGCTACCCCGGAGATAACTTGATCACTGCACAAAGATGCAAAAGCAAGATTTCTGGTGGGAAAACCCCACCACTCAGAATAATATCTACATTATGCATTGGCTACCAGAAGCTTCCAGCTGAAATTCAAAGTACTTATTGTTGCCTTTGAAACCCTGCAGGATGCAACAACAGGTTTTACATTGACCTTTGTAGAATACATTCTGCCTCCCAACTTAGTTTAGTCAATTACAGAAGGGCTCCCCCTCCTTGCAAGTTACATGGTATATATAGATGGTATGTCTTCTCAATAGCAAACTCCACTTTATGGAACTTTCTGCAGAAAGTTGCCTGTCCTCTACCTCCATGAATGTTAAAAGCAAATCAATAATTATTTTTCCAATGAACCTTTGACCTGAGCTGATTAAAAATACAATTTTTTAAATCAGAATTTCTGATGCTCTTTTTCTAACCTATTTGATTATATTGTTATTTGTAATTTATCTTGGTTGTTCACTATCCAGGTTCCTTTCAAATTGGGACAGGTTATAAAAACTCAAATTTATATAATTTGGTGCAGAAAACTACAGCAGTATATTTTAAAAAAGAATCTCACAGTTTTGATTTACAACTTTTAGTAAAATAAAATATAAAAGTTTAGCAATTATTACACCTAGGTCAATTCCAAATTTTCTCTCAATTATTATGAATATTTAAGAATTACCTGTTTTCCCTTAAAATGATTTTGGCGAGAGATTTGATGAAAAAAATATGAGTATGAATTTTTCTCATTGTAAATTTAGAGAAAATACTGGACAGAAGATGCATCCTTTTAGAAGTATGATTGTTTTACTATTGATTTTTATTGTAAGTCATTTAGGATTACAGTATGTAAGACAGGCAGTCATATACATTCTATAAATAAATTAACCAGTAGCAGCATGTATTTCCTTAATTGTGCCAGATACTGTAAAAGGGGTAAATGGTATGGTATCAATAATTTTAGCTGGTAGATACTCTATGATCTTCTATTAGAAATACCTCTGACCTTGTAGTGGGGAAAAAATAATAGTGTTCTATTTCTTCTTATAAGGATAGAAGAAGAATATATGGTAGAAATATATTTAATTGAATGGTTATAATTTCTTGAGGAAGTTTCTATAAAATGAGGGCAAACTATAGAAGGCAATTACTAAATTCCTTGGAGGTATCTCTAGCTACTAGAAAGGGATATCACTTTTACTGGTAGAACCTCTGTTTTAGCTGGTAGGGATAAGATTAAAATAAATTTCATAGGACAGATGTTTTAGATTTTAAGTTATTTTATTAATGGCCATAATGGTATATTCGTGTGTGTGTGTGTGTGTGTGTGTGTGTGTGTAAAATGAGACTGTGATATGTTATGTTTATAAAATATTATTTATGTACTTACTGTACTTACATCACTTACTAGTGGTGAGTATTTATTTATTTATTATTCATTCATTCATTCATTCATTCATTCATTCATTCATTCATTCAAATTTGTATGCCGCCCCTCTCCGAAGACTCAGGGCAGCTCACAATGCATTTAAAATCATTATAAAAAACATTTAAGAATTAAAAACATTAAAAACATTAAAACTCATTCATGGCCGGATCTCGCCGGATCGCAAGAGCGAGATCAACGGCCCCAGGCCTGCCGGAAAAGCCAGGTCTTCACCGCTTTTCGGAAGGCCAATAGGGTGGGGATGGTCCGGACCTCAGGAGGTAACTGGTTCCAGAGAACTGGGGCAGCCACAGAGAAGGCCTTCCCCTGCAGGCCCGCCAGCCGGCATTGTTTAGCTGACGGGACCCGGAGGAGACCAACTCTGTGGGATCTTACCGGTCATTGGGAGTTATGCAGTAGAAGGCGGTCTCAAAGATACTCTGGCCCTGAGCCATGTAGGGCTTTAAAGGTAATAACCAACATCTTGAATTGTGACCGGAGACCAATAGGGAGCCAGTGCAGTTCGTGGAGAATTGGTGTAATGTGTGTGTACCTAGGTGCACCCACGATAGCTCGCGTGCCTGCGTTCTGGACCAACTGTAGTCTCCGAACACTTTTCAAGGGTAGCCCCATGTAGAGTGCGTTGCAACAATCTAACCGTGAGGTGACAAGGGCATGAGTGACCGTGAGGAGAGCCTTCCGATCCAAGTAGGGACACAATTGGTGCACCAGGCGAACCTGTGCAAAGTATTAATTGTATATTTATTAATTGAATTGAGTATTAATTGAATTGATACGAAATTGAGAACTATATAAAATAGGATATCATGTTATATAATAAATGTAAATTGTCAAATGTATTGTAAGGAATGTCAATTGTTTCCACTCATTCTTTATATACATAAATACAGATGTATATGAAAAATATTTCCCACCTCCGTTTCAGAGCAAAACCAAGAAATCTCACTTTTATATTTTGCTTCTGCAGAATGTACTTTATAATACTTTATAATTTATCAAGATAATTTCATTTACTTCTTCACTAATTTGATCTTAACCTATATTATGTTATAACTGTCAAAAGATCACAATCCAATAAAGATTCAATAAATAAAACAATAAATTGGATTTGTGCAATTACATTTGTTTCTGTTGTTTGGATTAAAATTATCTCTGGTTACAAATTGCATGTTATGTGTGCTAAGAATACATTTGGAGGGGAGGGAATGTTAGTATATCCAATGAGCCAAGAACAGAAATTACATCAAATGACAAATAACAATAATAATAAAACATTAAATACATAACATAGAATTTTCAATTTAACTATTTAGCTGTCATACTTACATTCATAGTAATATCACCTGCTGTAAATGAACACATTTTGATATAACTAACAGTGACTTGAAAGTATTGTATAGCACTGTAAGTCCATGTAGTAATTTCAGAAGGTTTAATGTATATAAAAGAGTTGCAAATGTTAGCAATTCCACCACTAATAATATCTCCTATTTGTATATATATATTTCTATTCTTTGCTATTTTTAAATTCTCAGTTTTGAGGCAATACAGATTTATTTCTTTCATGGCAATCTGAGGGCCCCCCGCAAACGAGGGGCCTAGGGGTCGACCTCTGTCCTCCTACCAACACCGACTGTGACCGACCAGAGAGATAGGAGGAGAACCACCACAACATGGTGCCTCCCAGTCCCAACTCCCTTAGTCGTCTCAGAAGGATACCATGGTCAATGGTATCGAAAGCTGCTGAGAGGTCAAGTAGCACCAAGATAGAGGAGTGACCCCCATCTCGGGCTCGCCAGAAATCATCCATCAGTGTGACCAAGGCAGTTTCCATGCTGTAGCCAGGCCTGAAACCAGACTGAAAAGGGTCCAGATAATCCGTTTCATCCAATGACCGCAGGAGCTGAAGTGCCACCACTTTCTCTACAACCTTTCCCACAAAGGGTAGGTTGGAGACTGGCCGAAAGTTCTTTAATTCTGTTGGGTCCAGGGAAGGCTTCTTGAGGAGAGGCCTTACAACCGCTTCCTTTAATGGTTGCGGGAAGGACCCCTCCCTCAAGGACGCATTAACTAAAGCCTGGAGCCAGCCTCGTGTCACCTCCCTGCTGGCCGAAACCAGCCAGTAGCAGCACAGGTCCAACAAACAAGTGGAGGAACTCATCGCACCTACAGCCTTGTCCACTTCCTCAGGAGTCACTGGCTCAAACTCCTCCCACACAATAGGACTAAGACCTGCCCCCATCATCTCGGTCGGTATTGCCCAATCAGAGTCCAGGTCCATCCAAATCTGAGCGACTTTATCCGACAGAAACTGCACAAACTCCTCCGCTCTACCCTGCAAGGGCTCCTCCGCTCCCCCTGCATTAAGGAGGGAGCGAGTTACCCTAAATAGGGCAGCTGGGCGAGAATCAGCAGATGCAATAAGTGCGGAAAAATGTGAATATTTTGCCGCCTGTATCGCCACTAAGTAAGTCCTAATAAAGGCTCTCAAGAGTGTTCGGTCAGATTTGGATTTACTGGTCCTCCAGCGTCGCTCTAGACATCTCTTCTGGTGTTTCATCTCCTGGAGCTCCTCGGTAAACCAGGGAGCTTTCCTGGATCCACTGCCATTGAGAGGCCGCAAAGGCACAATCCGGTCCAATGCCCCAGACACCACCCTATTCCAGGCAGCCACTAGGTGTCGAGCCCCAGCCGGGTCTCGCCACTCACAGCACTGGAGGAGAGGAGGAGGCTGGGTGACGAGCCGAGACTAGGG